ATGTGCTTGAGATGCTAGTATGTATGGATCTTTAGCAAATGCAGTTTGACTTTGGTTAAGGTTGACAAGTGTGAATCCATCTTCTTCCTTTACTCCATTACCTATATTTGCCCATTGGCACCTGAATATAGGAATGTAGAAGACATTGTAATCAAGCAGTATAATATCCACCACTCTGCCATAGTAAGACACAACATCAACCATTGGAGAATTGTCTTTTGCACTAGCTATACACATTGCTGTGGCCTCATGCAACACACCAGAGTTCTGAGTTTCCCTATCAACCGTAACTGTATGAAACCGATTTCCATTGACTATGTAACCCGTGTAAGACCTTGCATGAAGACGAGGACCATATGCTAACCACTTAAGTATATCTTCATGATCAGAAGTCATAGGTATCTGTTGTAAAATTTGGCAAATGTCATTTACTATATTGTAAAAGAATCATGTAATAAACAAAAAAAAAACCAATTCTAATAGTTAACATACCTGTTCTTTTAACCAGGCTGCAAATGTCTGAGAATGTTTACGCCATAAAAATGCAGAATCACGGCAACATCTTTCACTAGAATCTTGTAGATGTTGCAGGTGCATGCTAAAATTAAAACACAGAAAATATTGATTAAATGTAAATACAACAATATTATAAAAGAGACTGTTAGTAGAAGAACTTACTCCACATAAGGATCAAGCAGAGCCATATTATGAATGACAACAAGATGTGCTATGTTCTTCTCATTCTCAGTAAAAGTACATGAAGTAGGTGCTGATATAGGACGACCCTCCAAGATAGTGCAGTTCTCATAATCAGAATTTCTTTCAATTTTCTCATCAACATTTGTTGTCTTTTTCAAGAAATCACTGCAGAACCGCACACACTCCTCAGCGAGATATGCTTCAGCAATACAACCCTCTGGTCTTGCCGTGTTTCTTACAAAGTCCTTCAGAACTTTCATGTACCTGCATATAAAAAACATGTAACTGATAAGCATAAAAGTATATTGTAAATGATACAAATTTATAAGTTATTAGATTGTACCTCTCAAATGGGTACATCCAACGAAAATGAACTGGTCCACATAACCGAGCTTCCCTGCCTAAGTGAACTGTCAAATGCACCATTATATCAAAGAAACTTGGAGGTAAGAACCTCTCAAACATGCAGATAGTTTCCACAATTTCAAGCTCCATTACAGCAATTGCCTCTCTGTCAATCACTCGCTGACACAGTTTGTTGAAGAAAGCGCATAAGCGTCCAATAGCTATCCTAACACCTTTAGGTAACAAACCTGTAAGTGCATAACATTGAATTTAAAAAACATAACAGGTATTTATGCAAGAGTTCTATATAAAATACTTCATCATACCTCTAATTGCAACAGGAAGAAGTTGTTGCATCAACACGTGATAATCATGTGATTTAAGACATTTAACACTACAATCTTCTATCTTAACACATTTGGAAATATTTGCACAGTAGCCATCTGGTCCTTTGAAGTTAGATAATCGCTTACAGAATACTTTCTTCTCTGTTTTGGACAGAGACCAAGGACCTGGAGGAAGGTAGGTTCTTTTTCCACGTGTTTGGGGATGTAAATCCTTCCTAATACCAAGCAGTTGCATATCTTTCCGAGCTTTAACACCATCCTTTGATTTCCCAGAATGCAGCATTGTAGAGACAAGGCTAGCGCCAACATTTCTCTCCACGTGCATCACGTCTAGGTTATGCCTAACAGGCATCTCCTACACAACATAATAACAGATAATAAAAAGAAAGTTTAATACATTTATTTTGTAAAATATAGCAAATCTGAATATATAGTAGAATAACAAAAACTAACATATAAATCATACCTTCCAATAATCTAACTTGAAAAATATTGGGCACTTCTTCCATCTGGATAGCTCCTCTTCATCTACTTGGTTTTCCTCATCTTCTGATTCACTGGATTCATCATCAGTATCAGAGGCTGATCCAACACGATCTTGCATCTTCCTCTTTCTTCCTTTTACTTTTACATTCCCAAAATCATTCTTGTATTTTTTGAGTATTTGATAAATGTTATGACCAGTCAGAATCCTACCTCTTCTTCCATGCTCAGCTTTACCATCAAACCATGCTTTCTTTCCTCTATAAACATGGGTGGGTGACAGAGACTTCCGGTGAGACATATACACGTGCTTTCTATAATTACTCAACCACAAACTATATGTGTGCTTCCCGCAAACAGGACAACCCATTTTGCCTTTAACTTTGCAGCCTGCTAGATTTCCATATGCCGGGAAATCCTGTATGGTCCACAGAAGCATTGCTCTTAAAGTGAATGTAGTGCGACTGAATGCATCATACGTTACCTCTCCCTTCTCCCACAGATGGTTTAGATCCTCTATAAGAGGTTCTAAATAGACATCTATATTGTTTCCAGGTTGAGTTGGTCCAGGAATCAGCAATGTCAACATGATGTTCTCCTCTTTCATACACTTGTCAGGTGGCATGTTGTAATTGACTAGCAAAACAGGCCACGCACTATAGTTAACATTTTTCATGTTAAAAGGATTAAACCCATCTGTGGAGAGTCCAAGCCTAATGTTCCTTTCTTCTGTAGCAAATGACAGATACTTTTGATTCATTTGATCCCACGTCACAGAATCTACCGGATGACGCATTTTTCCATCTGTGCTCTTATTACTGAAATGCCACCGTAAGTCTTTCGCCGTGTCCTCTGACCTGAACATCCTCTTAAGACGTGGAATTATCGGAAAGTACCTAAGTACTTTCTGTGGAGTACCTTTCTTCACCTCACCAGTTCGCGTGTTAATCTTCCATCGCGAAGAATTGCATTTAGGACAAGTGTCGAGCTCCTCGAACTGTTTTCTAAATAGACAACAGTCATTTACACAAGCGTGTATCTTCTCATAACCCATATCAAAAGATTTGAAGAATTTCTTCACTTCATACAAGGATGTGTGCAATACATTGTCCTTGGGTAGCATCTATTTTAAAGTCTCAAGTAGACTATCAAAACTTTTGTCAGACCAACCACTCTGAGTCTTTATCCTAAAGAGTGAAACAATCGCAGATAGCTTGCTGTGGTTTGTGCAACCTGGATACAGTGGTGTTTCTGCATCAGCTAGCTTGGCTAAGAACTCATCTTCTAACTTATCATCACCATCAGCAACATCATTTAAATCACCCTGACTAACCAGCTCTTCATCCATAAACTCAGCAGCTTTGAACAAACCTAAGATCTCTTGGTTCAACTGGCTTGTATTCTTTCTACACTCAGTCCCTGATTTCACTTCTCCATGATGAAACCAGTCCTCACTCGCCTTGTAACTCCAATCCATTCCCCTTGTTACAAGATGATCAACAACATCAGCGGCTGAGTGGCGATATACGTTGCGACAGTCAATACACGGGCAAACAATCATTGCATTGTCTCCTAAACCTGCAGCCACAGACCTCACAAAATCCCAAGCACCTTTCTCATAACCAGGATCGGTTCTGCAATGAAGTAACATAAAAGCAAAAAACCAAAAGAAAAAAACGAATTACAAACTTTAAAAAATCTTTAACATATCAATTAAACCAATAAACTCAACTATACAAAACGTTCTCACATACCTGTTAAGATGAACCCATCTCTTTTCCATAACCATTATATGTCCTTACCCATAAAGAAAACAAAACAAACACATAAGAATAACACAAACACCAAACAAATACCAAACAAACACCAAACAAACACCAAACAAATATATTCGCATTCAGCCAATTCATTCAACTCGTAAACAAATGAATCAAACAAATTAATCAAATTTCAGTTTCATTGTGAGAACTTGCCTCTGTGTTCTGATGCAAACAGGCAGATGATGCAGGCAGAAGATCCAGCTGATGAGATGTGATTACCTTTCAATGTTTAAAATGGTCAAAATTAAAATCAGAGTACTAGTACATAGTAAAGAACTGAAATGCATAAATTGAATGCCTTATACCTTTCAGATTCGAATCTACTGAGCTCGACTGAGCTATTGAGACAGAGACAAAGGCGGAAAGAGACAGAGGCGGATAGAGACTGAGGCAGAGAGAAACTGAGAAAGAGAGCGACAAAGACACAGAGAGCGACAGAGACAGAGAGCGACGGAGACAGATCGATGGATACCGGAAAGAGAGACAGAGATCGACGGAGATAGCGACGGAGACACAGAGGCTGTCGGAGATTTTGGTGCTTAGAATCGAGATTTCATGGAATGGGAATCGAGATTTCAATGGGAATGGGTGACGAGATTTTGGTTCTTGTCAATGGGAATCGAGATTTCATGGAATGTGTATTGCGATTTCTCAATGCTTTTTGTTTTTGGGTTTTTGGTTTTTTTTTGGCTAAGTCTTTTTGGTCTGAAGACTTAAGAGAATCGAGACTTTTTTTTTTGTTTGGGGGGAAAACCCCAATTAGTTTGCCTCCAAAATTACCTTTACCCGCTATAATACTGAGTTAAGTTCCCGCTTAATAAAAAACTATATCCTAGCGTTAATATAGTGCTGCGAAATACTTGCCATCCGATTTTGGAACTTTTAGTAGCAGTTCGTAAATTTGCGCTACAAAGAACTGCTACTGAAGCTCATTTTTCTTGTAGTGAAAAAATATAGTGTATTAATACGTATAGTGTTTCTAGTTTAATCAAATTAAATCAGAGATCTTAACATGTAATTAAATGCTCTAATAAATTCATTAAAGGTTAGTGACTACTAGCTTTTTATTTAATCAGTGAACCGTTGACAAATAAGGCAAATTAATAAATGTTTTTTGGGCCAAGTCACACTCCTCTCTTTGAATTTGTTTAGCTCATGTTGGAATATATTTTGTGCGTTAAATAATTTTACCCATCGTTGAATTGTGATGGACGTCGCTGTTTTTATTAAAGAATGCCTAAGCGAATATTTCGGGTCGTCTCTCATATCGGGGCATGTCATATGACCCCCTTCAAGTGAACGACTTCAGAAATATTTCAGAGTAAAGTTCTTATAGAGTATTGAATTGAGATACAAGTTCTTCCAGAGGTATCACTTAGACGCAGTCGTCACACAGGATCATTGCGTCGCGTGCGATGGAAAACGTTGAAAACGTGAAAGAAAATCCGGATTTGACAGCAGAGAAACGGAGCGGTCTGGTGAAGCGGCGGACTTCAGTTTCTAACAAGCTCAAGCGCTTGACATCGGGTAAGCCAGTTGGATTGGACCGGTCGAAGTCAACGGTCGGTCAGGCCTTGGAAGGGCTCAAGTTCATCAGTAAGACCGACGGTCGCGATGGTTGGACTGCAGTAGAGAAGCGGTTTGATAAGATCACGGCCAGTACTAAAGGATGGTTGCTTCGGTCAAAATTCGGTGAATGCATAGGTAAAAATCGTAAAATCAAAGCATTGAATCAAATAAATGATTTGGATGTAAATAAGAATATATTTGACATCTTGTAGGGATGAACTCGAAGGACTTTGCCTTGGAACTATTCAACGCATTAGCTAGAAAAAGGTGTATGACAGGGGATATATATGATTAATAAGAAGGAGTTCAAGGATTTTTGGGAACAAATAAGTGATCAACGCTTTGATTCTAGGCTTATGACGTTCTTTGACATGTAATTATTTTGGTCTTTTGCTTCATTTCTCTGGATCTCTATATGTTTTGGTAATGTTTAAGTTTGAGTCAAAGGGTTTGTGAAATGCAGGATGGATAAAGACGCCAATGGAAGACTGGCCGAAGATGAAGTTACTGAGGTAAAAGTGTTGACACTAATGAGGTTAATTTCTGCGTTAACATGCAAAATTTTCCAAAAATAAATTCTCATTGATCTTGTAAAAGAAAATATTTTTGTGTAAAGAGTTTAAACAAAGACGAATATACGATGTTGTAATTTCCTTAAGGAAATTTACACAATAAACTTGAAACCAAAAACACAAAAAAAAAAAAAATTCTTCTTAATAATTTTCTTTAAAAATCAGAGGAAAAAGTTTAATGTGTTGGAGTTGGAGATAGTATGCAGAGCCGTGCTTACCTCATTAAATTAAAGGCAATTGCCTAAGGCCACCAAAATAATAAGTATTAGAAGGCCACATTTTATTCAAAAACTAGATATATGTATTTAGTTTAATATTATGTATTAGAGCTTTTTGTTTGAGAATTGCATAAAACTAATAAATAAAAATCCACAAGGAAGATTAAATGGTTAACTATCTTATTTATGGTAAAAGATTTGATTAAAAGTTTTGAATATGTGAGTTTCAACGATTTTATAGAGAAAAATAAAATCAAATTTGTGCTTAAAACTTTTTTTATCATTAATTATTTTATATAAAAAAATTTACTATCATAAAAATTAATTTTTTTAGGCCACATTAATCGAAATTGCCTAAGGCCTCTGTGAAGCTAAGCACGGCACTGATAGTACGTTGAACTTTGCTACGCCTTTTTGTGTTTTGGCAGATCATTAGTCTTAGTTCGTCTGCCAACCATCTTTCAACCATAAAGACAAATGCAGATGGATATGCAGCAATGATAATGAAAGTGCTTGACAAAGATAATATTGGATACATCATGGTAAGTTTTTTTGAAGATAACCCGAGGATCGATAATTTTTCGATTTCTACTTGTATATGTAACTTTGTGGTGAATTTAAAACAGATGGGTAGTCTTAAATCCTTGCTTCTGGAAGCTGAAACACATTCCATCAGCACAAACAGTGAAGAAAGAAAGAAGTTGGGCGACATGATAAGTGACAAGCTTAAGCCTACACTTGACCCTAACCCGTTGAAGAGATGGTGCCATAAACTTAGATTCTTCGTACTGGATAACTGGCAAAGAATTTGGGTAATAGTGCTATGGCTCATGATTATGGCCATCCTCTTCATATACAAATATATTCAATACAAGAATAGAGAAGTGTATGAAGTGTTGGGGCATTGTGTGTGCTTGGCTAAAGGTGCAGCAGAGACACTGAAGCTGAACATGGCCTTGATTCTGTTACCTGTATGCAGAAATACCATTACATGGCTTAGAACTAAAACTAGTTTGGGTGTTATTGTCCCCTTTGATGACAACCTCAACTTTCATCAGGTAAAAACCACACTTTTGTTTTGTTATTTTCAACCATCTATATATGGTAGTGAAGTGGTTGAGAAATCCGTCCTATTGGTGGAGGATATGGATCAATTCTTATCCATTTCACCTTCATGCTGGTCAATATAAACGTTGTAAATAGAAGCAAACATAGTTTTTACGTGCTTTCATATTACTCTGAACTGTCCTTATAACTAGTTATAAGATCAAAATACTATTTTAATAAAATTGCAAAACTATCTCTCATTATTATTATGATGGCCAAACCTACAGGTTATAGCGGTGGGAATTATGATAGGAGTAGCCATACACTCGGTGACCCACTTGGCGTGCGATTTTCCACGGCTAATTGCGGCAACTCAAGAGAAATACATGCCTCTACGAAAATTCTTTGGGGAAGAGCAACCAAAGATATACTTGCACTTTTTGAAGTCTATAGAAGGAATAACAGGGCTCATAATGGTTTTCTTGATGGCAATTGCTTTTACACTAGCTGTCCCTTGGTTCAGACGAGGGAAGCTCGAAAAAAAGCTTCCAGAGCCTCTAAAGAAACTAGCTAGCTTCAATGCCTTCTGGTATACTCACCATTTGTTCGTGATAGTCTACATTCTTCTTGTCCTTCACGGATACAACTTGTATCTCAGCAAAGAATGGTACAAGAAAATGGTGAGTAGTTCGATATTCAACATTTTCAATCGTATAATCTTCGCTTTTAGAAATGTAACAAACTCGGATGTTTTGTTTGTAGACGTGGATGTACTTGGCAGTACCAGTAGCTGTCTATACATGTGAGAGAATAATACGAGCATTTAGGTCAAAAATGGAGACAGTTAAAGTTGTTAAGGCCGCGATTTTGCCCGGAAACGTATTAACTTTGCACATGTCAAAGCCTACAAATTAATTACTTCGAATACAAGAGCGGTCAATACATGTTTGTAAACTGTCCAGCAGTCTCACCGTTTGAGTGGTAAGCAAAAATCACTCTTTAAGAGCCAACAACTCTAAACTCATTTCAATATCAATTCAAGTGATATTATATATATTACTACAGGCATCCATTTTCAATAACTTCTGCACCACAAGACGACTATTTAAGTGTTCATATAAAATCACTGGGAGATTGGACAAAGGCTATCAAAGGAGTTTTCTCCGAGGTCTTTCTTTTTTACTTCTAAATCTCTCAAAAGGTTTAGAAATCTTATAAGTCTTGAGAAAGGTTTTATGTGTTATATCTCAGGTATCTATGCCACCTCCGGTCGGGGAGATGTCGCATGGTGCAAATAATTTCGAGTAAGTATATTCACATATTTGACACAAAAACCAACAGTTTGACCAAAAAAAAAACGTAAACAAAAATTTGAGAAATAGCTAAGAGTATACATATACCATTATGTTTTCTTGGACTATTATTCTACCTAAGAAAACCTAGTGTTTTTTTATTTTGATATGGTAATGACCGTCCTTCCACAGTTTCCCGAGAATTATGATTGATGGTCCGTACGGCGCACCAGCACAAGACTACAAGAAATACGAGGTGGTTCTGCTGATCGGCCTTGGGATTGGAGCCACCCCAATGATAAGTATTATTAAGGACATAATCAATAATACAGAGACCAAAGAACTTTCTCAACTTGACCTAGCGAAGGTGGGATCAGAACATGAGCCACAAGGTGAAAAAGAAACTTTCAAGACGCGAAGGGCTTACTTCTACTGGGTAACAAGGGAGCAAGGCTCATATGATTGGTTTAAGAACATCATGAACGAGATTTCTGAGCGAGACAAGAGTAAAGTCATAGAACTACACAACTATTGCACTAGCGTCTATGAAGAAGGAGACGTTCGTTCAGCGTTCATACATATGCTTCAGTCTCTAAACCATGCCAAGAGTGGTTTAGACATTGTCTCTGGGACCAAGGTTATGTCCTATTTCGCCAAACCTAATTGGGAAAACGTTTACAAACAGATAGCCATGGATCACCCTGGCTCTAATGTTGGTATGCTCTCTCACTTTCCCTCATACATGGTTGGTTGGGTCTCTCTTGTATTAACAAAATTTAATGTTGATGCATTGTTAAAGACATGCTTGCATCGACTTGCATGAGATTCTCAACGTCTTATCGCACTATCGATTCATATCATGCAAAGATTAGTTTAGGCTCATGTTTTTTTTTTTTGGTCTTGCATTATGTGGTAATCTGGTAGTGGTACACATACACTAGCCAAAACTATTATACTACATGTCTTAGTAAACTTCATGAGTTTCACATGTTCAAAGGCATTGGTGCATGTTATACAGTTATAGTAGTAACCATGCTCTAAAATATTGTTTTGGTATTATAAAATATCATTGTGTGATTATGATTAATTACTATAAGAAAAGAGAATGATATAAATTGACATAAACGTGCAGGAGTGTTTTATTGTGGAGCACCAGCATTGACAAAGGAGTTAAGGAATTTAGCTTTGGAATTCGCACATAAGACACGAACTAGATTCTCCTTCCACAAAGAGAACTTTTAAAGACAATGAAGATTATACTCACAATACTGATAAAGAAAAAAAAATGATGGCCAACAATATGATAGCTATAATGGAGTATGTGTAGTTGCCTGTTATGTTTTTGTTTCTGAAAAAGTAATTGTGTTACATTCCACTCGATGGACCTCAAATCTATATAATAATAACGATCCTAATAAATGTCTTTCGTTAAATTTTTCGGTTATTGATCGTAACTCTTTATAAACGATTGCAACTGTTTAGTTGAACCATTGCAACATTTAATTTATTTCACAAACAAATGCAATTTCTTTTATAAATCGTTATAACATTTAATTTCTTTTTTAAACAAAAAATTATATATTTTACGGTTGTGTTTTTTTTTAGAAAGCTGCAATCCGAATATATGTCTTCTAGGGTTGCGTTTTTTTATCGTAACTCTTCATAAACAGTTGCAACCATTTAGTTGAACCATTACAATATCTAGTTTATTTCACGAACAAAACAACTTTTTGTTTATATTATAAATTGTTTTAACATTTGATTATTAGGTCGTGTCTCTCGGTGTAACTTTTGATGAATTATTTTTTAGTTTTTAATTACTAAAAATATATCTAAATGAAATTATAACCGTTTAATTGAACTGTTGCAACATATAGTTTATTTTAACGAATCATTGCAACTTTTGGGTTGTTTTTTTTTAATCGTTGTATCTTTAGTTTATTTGATGAACCGTTTTAACTTTTGGTATATTTGATTATACGGTCACGTCTCTCGGTTACAGTTTTTCATAATATTTTTTTAATTTTAATTATTAAAATATATTTAAATGAATTGTTCCTACTGTTCAATTCAACATAGTAGATTATGTACCCGCGCCTTGCGCGGGATTTTAATTTAAATTTTTTTATCAATGAAAATCATTGAATTATTTGAATTTTAAAAGATTTTACTTTACTTATTTTCATTATCTTTTAACAGTAGTAAATATTTTTTCACACCTTTCACTACAATTTTTCTGTTATCTTCTATGATTCACTCGTCGTCTCCCGACATCTACTCTATTTTCACCTTATATTAGCGCACATATAATATACTCGACTATGAAGTAGTTCTCAAGATAGATCGTATATATTTTCTCATTCATATCTCTCAATACTCCAATTTTGTTTTATAAGTTGCATGATCTTTTAATTAAAGTGAACATTAGAAAATCGTGGAAGATATTTGTCATAAAGTTTTTTTTACCATGTTTGATGCATATAAAATTGCTTTACAGACAACAAATCTCATATATAGACTCATTCCTATTCACAAACATCGTATTTCAACATCAAATTTTGCACTTTATCTTGACCATTTGAAAAATACAAAAAACAAATTAACATATATACTTTGATGTATATTATGATTCTATATAAGATTCTTAATATTTATTTTCGTAAAATTTGTAACTTACGAACTCATATAAATCATTTCAATTTTAAAATACATTTTTTTATCCTTAGTTTGTACTTCTAATTAAAATCTCTTCAATATACCATTACTATTCTAATTTCTAAATAGCATTTGCAAATATTATTATTACACTGTGTTAAAATCACCTTAAATTTTTTCGATCTATGTTAAAATTTCATAAACACTGATTAATATATAGTTTTTCTTTTTTTAGGTATTCATTTGATTTTTAAAAAAATCCACCACTTTTTATTAATGTAACTATTATATTATATTATAATTATAAATAATAATATGTACTCAATCCTTCTTATTTTTAATCAATATCATGAATTGATACTTTAACATTAAAACTATATTTTTAATATTTATAATTTTAAATGTGTATTTCAGAAATGAATTAATTTTTATGTTCAGTAAAAACCTTTATTATACTAAATAATTGTAGAGAAATTGTTAAAAATGCCCCTTTTTCAATACCCTTTTTCAAAAATGCCCCCTTTGAGAGTCCATTTTTAAGTTTGCCCTCTTTTAATTTTTAATGACCATTTTACCCTTATTTGAAACAAAATTAGGTCCACAAAATACAAAATATTTTTTGGCGGGAAAAGTGATCCCGCAATTTTCCCGCCAAAACACTTGTAAAAACCTTTAAAATACCTTGTAAATTTAACCCGTAAAAATTTTTCCCGCCAAAAAATATTTTTTGCGGGAAAAGTGATTCCGCAATTTTTTTGGCGAAAAAGTTTTGGCGGGAAAAATTTACAAGGTATTTTAAAGGTTTTACAGAGTATTTACAAGTGTTTTGTAAGGTTTTACAATGTATTTTAAAAGGTTTTATAAGGTATTTATAACTTGTAAAACCTTATAAAAAACTTGTAAAACCTTATAATTTGTAAAACCTTATAAAATAGCTTGTAAAATCTTATAATATCTTATAAATACCTTATAAATACGTTGTAAAACCTTTTAAAATACATTGCAAAACCTTATAAATACCCTGTAAAAAACCTTTAAAATACCTTGTAAATTTTTCCCGCCAAAAATTTAACGCCAAAAAAATTGCGGAATCATTTTTCCCGCAAAAAAAAATTTTTGGCGGGAAAAAGTTTTACGGGAAAATTTTACAAGGTATTTTAAAGGTTTTACAAGTTTTTACAAGTGTTTTGGCGGGAAAAATTGCGGGATCACTTTTCCCGCCAAAAAATATTTTGTATTTTGTGGACCTAATTTTGTTATATTTCCTTATATATTTGTGATATCTTTTATTAAAAGAAGGGTAATTTAGTCATTTTGTACATAAAAAGGGGTATTTTTAAAAATGGACAGCCAAAGGGGGCATTTTTGAATAGGAGTATTGAAAAAGGGGCATTTTTGTGAGTCTCCCATAATTGTAACTCTTAAAAATGATTTTTTCACATTAAAATATATGATAAGTTCTTTTTCATATCTCTATTCATTTAGGAATATTTACTCATTATATGTTAAGATACAATTATCTAATTTTATATTTAATATAGTCTCTATACAAAAAGTTCATCTTTTGTGTTTTTTTTTTGTCAACCACACATTAGTTAATAAATAACTCCCTGATTGGTTGCCCAATTAGAAGGAGAAGAGTCTACAAAAGTAACTTCAGAAAATAAAAGTCTAGAAGAACGGGCTAAACAGTCCGCTTTAAATAGAAGTTCATATTTTGTGTTATAATTTATTTTTTCGTTTTTTAATATTTAATTTTTTCTTTTGTAAATTTTTGTTTTTGTTTAATGAAATATAATAATATAAATTACAAAATGTGTGATTTAATTACAGTTTAATTTTTTTTGTTTTAATAAATACATTCTGTGGAGCCTACAAAAAATTAAAATAGGATGACTTGGATGATGATGTGGACACCCTAGATGGAGAGATAACTCTCCCATTATATATATAGATTGTTGCAACATTATGTATATTTGATGAATTATTGCAGCATTTAGTTTATTTGATGAACTATTATAATTTTTGGTATATTTAATGAACCGTTGCAACTTTTGCACTTTATAAAAAAATTTTGAGAGCATTAATTAAAGTTATATCTGTTTATTTTGAATTGTATCATGTCACCGTGTTTTATTCGTGTTTTTCATCATAAACTCTTCATTTCAATAATTGTGTCTTTTATAAAAAAATTGTAATCTCGGATTCGCTCCAGAATGATCCATAATCACCAAATTGGTCCCGAACGTGTAAAGACCTGAAAAAGACTAGAAAAGACTCTAGAAATAACAAAAAGACTCTAAAAACAACACTTATATAATGGCTGAAAACGGTAAAAGTCATGATATATTATTAAGAAAAAGAAATTCATTTATAAGTAAACAAGAATCTGTATAAAATTTTGGAAAACTAGAAGAAAATAAATATTATTGACACTTACTGTTTTGGCTTACTTGAAAAGAAATTAATAAGGACGTAAAAAGCAATTTTTTTTTTTGTCATACCCTACAGACACCGTGCTGGATATCTAGAGTCCACCACGATGTAGCATTTGTCTTGAAAGTGGAGATCTGATACACGACTCGGTGGTGAGACTTGTATTGGGATAGAGATGGTGGCTTCACAAGCTGGCGGTCGCTTCTCTCTTGTGAAGGATTGATGGTCGATGATGTAGATCTGACACGATGGCGGTCGCTTCTCTCGTATGGGATCTAAATAGAGGAAAGTAATAGCGGATTGAAGTACACCACATAGATGAAATTGGCTTCTGATACAGTACACGAACTCGGTCTTGGTGAATCACACACACAAGACAAAGAACAAAGTTATTCTCTCAAGAACACTCGAAGAGAAGAAGTAAGAAAATTCGGCTTCTTTATTGATAATCAAAGGTGAAAAATCATACAACTGCTGCAGGGGGACTTTATAAGAGTCCTTCAGCTAGCCCTGGGACAGAAATTAAATGCAAAAAAACACAACAAGGAAACAAATAAAAGCAAAACACAAAAACTATTGTTTTTAGAAAGAAAATAAAACCGTCGTGTGAATCGTCTTCACCGGAAAGGTAAACCCGTAACCAATTGGTTTCAATCTCTGTTTTGCAAAGGATTGTTAAGTCAATCTAACCAATGGGAGCTTGAATCATGACAGATCTGTGTTACCGGACCCTCCACTTCATCGTTCAGTTCGTCAAGCTAGACCGTCGAGTTCCAGAGAGCGGTAAACAGCGAAGCGTTTTCTCGTACTGCATTGATATGTTGTTGTGTGATTATTAAACCGAGTCTAAACCAACCTAAACCAAGACATTGCATATAGTTAAGGCTATGAACTG